AGTACAATGGTACTTTAGAAATATTCGATATTAGAACCAGCACAAGTACAATGGTACTTTAGAAATATTCGATATTAGAACCAGCACAAGTACAATGGTATTTTAGAAACATTCGATATTAGAACCAGCACAAGTACAATGGTACTTTAGAAACATTCGATATTAGAACCAGCACAAGTACAATGGTACTTTAGAAACATTCGATATTAGAATCAGCACAAATACAGTGGTACTTTAGAAACATTCGATATTAGAACCAGCGCAACTTTAGAAGTATTCCAAAGTTGAACCACGGATAATTTCCACTCCATCCCCCCTCCCCCCAAAAAAAAGAAAAAAAAGAAGAAGACTGGTTTTGTAGTTTCAAGAACCTTTTTCGTATTGAAATTTCTTGCTCTACCAATACAAGCGAAATAATGGAAATACTATAGTTAAGTTAAAACGCAATAACGAATTTAAGTTTACACTTTACAGTATGCTGTAAAGAAGTTATATTTACAGCAGTGCTTCCCAAACTTTTTCAGCCCGCAGCACACTTTTACTGTCCCAAACATTTTGCGCCACATGTAAATAAGTCCGTATGGCAGGCCTAGTGGCACTCCTTTGACTAAGAGAGGTAGAAATTACCGTTATACTATGTATCAAGGAGAAAATAAATCAATTTTTAATTTTTAAAAATTTATTAAATTGATACTAAATAATTGCAAAAGTTCCGCGACACACAGTTTGGAAAGCACCAGCTTACATTACGCTGTGTAGTAAAGAAAATGGCAAGTTTATGTAAGGTTTCTAAATATAAACCAAACACAATTGCAAAAATTATATGTTCATTGTACAATAATACGTTGAATTTTTACAACCAGTCTCAAATATATGTTGAAGTCATCACTGCAGGTATCAAATAATCGTGAGTTTATATATCACGTGCAATGTGACATCAACATGACACCTATACCTTAAGAATTACGTTCTTCGTGAAACTAATATGACTGTCTGCATAGGAGAAACATACACTGTGATATCGACATGGCACCTACTCTTTATGTGTACGTTCTTCGTGAAACTAACATGATTGTATCCATAGGAGAAACATACACTGTGATATCGACATGACACCTACTCCTTAAGAATCCGTTCTTCGTGAAACTAACATGATTGTATCCATAGGAGAAACATACACTGTGATATCGACATAGCACCTACTCCTTATGTGTACGTTCTTCGTGAAACTAACATGATTGTATCCATAGGAGAAACATACACTGTGATATCGACATGACACCTACTCCTTAAGTCTCCGTTCTTTGTAAAACTAACACAACTATATTCATAGAAGAGACATAAACTGTGACATCAACATGACATCTATCCCTTAAGAATCCGTTCTTCGTGAAACTAATATGACTGTCTCCATATGATAAATATACACTGTGACATCGACGTGATACCTATATCTTTAATATCACGTTCTTCGTGAAATTGACAGGACTATTTCCACAGGAAAAAACGTACACTGTGGCATCAACATGACCCCTTATCCTTAAGTATCCGTTTTTCATGAAACTGACAATACTATATCCACTGAAGAAATGTACACTGTGGCATCAACATGACCCCTTATCCTTAAGTATCCGTTTTTCATGAAACTGACAATACTATATCCACTGAAGAAATGTGCACTGTAGCATCAACATGATCCCTACTCCTTAAGTATCTGTTCTTCGTGAAACTGACATGACTATATCCACAAGAAAAACGCACACTGTGGCATCAACATGACCCCTTATCCTTAAGTATCCGTTCTTTGTGAAACTGACATGACTATATTCACAGAATAAATATACACTGTGACATCAAAAATTCACTATTGCAGTAATTAAACGCTTGGGTGGTCTGGTATTGTAGGCACGAGCTCTGCAAGTTGAAATAACAGTAACATGATTACAAAACGTTCAACTTTACAACACTTGGATAATCAAAATACTCCTACTAATCACTGCAGGATTGTAACACGAATACCACCAGGGTATCTTTCACTCTATGAGTCACGATATGATAAAGATCAATGTTCTTTACCCGTTTTCGTCCGACATTAGAAAAAAATTAAAATCACCACCAGACGAAACTACAAGAGTGTTAATTACCATGTCGTCTGGTGAGATCACGTGCTTTTAACAAAGTCATTCATTGATCAAATGTTATTCTCGATAGCTTTTCAATTCTAAAAAGAAACAAAAAAACAACAACAACAGAAACTTTAATTTCACTCACAAATCGGAATTATGATCTTAAGTTAAATTCTGTACAGAACAGCTGCTGTAGTAGGCATACTTATAAATACAAATCTGTTTTTAAATGAAATAAACATAATGAAACCAGCAACAAAAAAAGTCAAAATTAGCAAAATAAGGTTCTGTTATTTTTGTCCGATATTTAAGTCCAATTGGGCCACACAGATTTCGTACAACTCAAACATTATATTCGTCAATATCAATAAACGGCTGAATGGATTAAAAATTTGCATAGATTTTTTTTACATTATGTTACACGTAATTTCAGACGCATGTAAAACACAATGTTTTGCATTTTCAATCAATACTAAACTTTCACTTTCCCCTTACTAGTCGTTTAACTCCCCAGTAACCCGTGAAATGTCATTGCGATTATCCAACCACACTTTATGCATCTGTGAATACGTTTTTAACAGTCATACAGCATCGGAAATGGAATTTAAAGCATGAACGTCACCTGGAGCACGTCGTTAAAAAGACCACGTCAGAGACACCCTAGTGTTTGGGTATAGTCGCTCCTAATTTTGAAATAGTTAATATAGGGGAGTCAGCCAACCAGCAGCACTCATCGCTAAAAGGGCTTTGTCCGCCTCTTTGGACTGCATAAAGCATGAAAATGGAACAGGAATTTGGCCCGATTATACCTTACGGTTAAACTAAAATTAAAAAAAAATTATAAAGATATCAACCAAAATCGATTAGTATCTGTGGATTTCAATGTGTAGAAAATAGTATTTGGTATTTTTCAACAATCTCATTTTCAGCGACCCCATAGTTCTGGCATTAACCATCCCTAATTTAAACCATCTGACAAGAGGAAGGACATTCAACAAGCAACACCCACCGCCTACGCGGCAAGTCTTAACCAAATAGCAGGATGGACTGTCATTTTTATAACGCACCCACAGCTGAAAGTGCGAAGTGTGCTCATTGGCACATTGCGGGCTCGAACCTGGGACTTCTTGATCCGAAGACCAATTCTTTAATCACTAGGTCACGCCTAACCCTATTAAACTGCCTCTATGGAGCCTTATCATTTGCGAAAAACCAAAGTAGTATCAAAAA